AATCTTGAGAGAAAAGACTACTCGAAAACGAGCATCTCTTTATAATTTAACTCCACAAGTATGGATATTATCTGAAAAAATTCTGAAAAATTCTTCAAAGAACTCAAAATTAGTTCCATCTCAATGTTGAATACTTTCAAAACTTGATCTTGAAATGACAGAAATTGATGATATGAAGGAACTTGCTCATTGAATCGCTTAATGAAAAGTATACTGCAGTACAAGTAACTGAAGTTTATCGTAAACGAGCATCTATTGCTCATCAACTTCCTATCTTTTAGTAGAAATCTTTTTTTTACATAAGTTCTGGAACGAACTCATTATCTCGATATATACTGTGATGCTCTGATTGTTCCGAATAAAACTATTTGATACTATTTAAAATTGAAATATATGTATTTCACAATGAAAATGAAGGGAACCTCTTTCGATACTTTATCATCTAAACGTTTAAGATAGTTAGAAAAAGACGAATGAAAGAAACAAGGGAACCTGATCGTTTTAAAGGCAATCGGAATGAAGAGACAACGGACAACTATGAGAGAATAGTTGTGTCAAAAGTTGTGATCTCTTTCACTACATAGGGGTTAGTACTAAAATTCATGTTTTCACGATTTTTTTATATCCAACTTTTATCTATTTTGTGAATTAAATCAATCACGACTACTTACAGTTTTTTAATGAAACATAGTGTGGTGTTACTTAATAACATATTTATATTTAAGACCATATGCTTTTTCATTATCAAAGTATTCTGAATGTTTTCAACATAAGAAAAAATGAGGCAAAAGTGCTTCTCTTGCTAATTTACATTGTGATACATTCGCGTTTTGAATCATTAGAAGGACAATAATATATAGTGTTGATAAGAAAATTAATGCATATCAATAATGTATTCAAATGAACTTTTAGAAATACAAAACATTGACTTACAACCAATATTAATAGCTATTGGTACATAAAGAACCGAGAAATTGACAATAAAAGCTTAGGAAAGAGTTAACGAGAATTCATTCAAGCTGTGTTGAAGAGAAGATCTGTTATCAATCAAACAAGTGTTTTGTGTTAAGATGATGTCTTTCCTGCACTCCTGCTATTAAATTAGGGAAATTTCTGTAATTAACTGTGTTACTTTATGTTTTCTCGTTTCATGTCGGCGTCAATGTCATTATTATATGATTATTCTGGATTGATCTATCTTTTTCCTAGGTTTAAGTTAGGTTTCA